ATTTCTATGCTTCCCCTACAGCATAGAAGTTCTATCCTCTCCCTACCATTCAGCCATCAAATTTTGATCAAGAGAGTTACTCACCATTTGATCTTAGATCCGACGTATCAAAGTATTTTATTTTTAGTTTTTTTTATATACAAATTGTATGAATATGAAATTTGGTATGTCCCATATTCTCATTGGGGCGCACCTATAAAAATATTAAAACTAATTTTTCGATAAAATATAATGACCAAAATACCCCTTGAAAATTTCAAAGGTATTTTGGTCATTATACTTTATTGAAAATATTGTTTTTATATTTTTCGCTAGTGCGAGTTTAATAGAGGAATGAATGTCCAAAATTTGGTGTCAAAATAGTTTATAGAAAAAAATAAAATAGCATAGAGACGTGACATTGTGATTGGGGCAATCTTATAAAGGGAAGGATAGAACTTCTATGCTATAGGAGAAGCATAAAAAGCTTGCCCATAAATAAATAAGTCAGATACTATTTGTGCAAAAATAAGATTACAGGGAGGCTAATAAGAAAAAATAAAAATAGTATTGTGCTGCGTACAACATTTTTTTTTTTCAATTTCATTTTGGATGTAAGAAGTTGTAAAAGAAATAGAAAATACAAAAAAAATAAAAAATAAAATTATTATATTATTTTTAAAATATATTTTTCTTACAAAAAAGAAGATATCTACCATTGAGAAATGTTTTATACTTCCCCTACAACATAGAAGATCTACGCTTTCCTTACCATCCAGCCGTCCAATTTTGATCAAGAGAGTCACTCGCCATTTAATTTTAGATCCGACATTTCAAAGTATTTTATTTTTAGTTTTTTTTTTATAATTTGGTACGCGCCATTTTCTCATTGGGGTGCACCTATAAAAAATATTAAAAATAAATTTTCGATAAAATATAATGATCAAAATACCCTTTGAAGCTTTCAGGGGTATTTTGGTGATTTTATTTCATTAAAAATATATTTTTTATATTTTTCAATGGTTTGAGTTTCATAGAGGATTGGACATACAGAATTTGGTGTCAAAATAGTTTATAGAAAAAAAAAATGAAAAAAAAAATAGTACAAAGACGTGACATTGTGATTGGGACAATCTTAGCCCTCAATTTAGAATGGACGCTTGGATAAGGGGAAGAATAAGTTTTATGCTGTAGGAGAAGCATAGAAAGCTTGCCCTTTACCATTATGTAATATGTAATATATATTTAATAATAAATAAAAAAATATGTAATATTACAGATATTACCCAAAAATAAGTTTTCACATTAGATCTATGAATCGTGTGAATGGAATCAGTACTCGAAAATAAAAATCGTAATCCCAAAGTCACACATGCAAATGTTATACAATATAATGCAAATACTTTAAAAACAATGATAAAATTACCCCTACAACATTATAGGGGTATTTTGTATAATTTTTATCATTCAAATTATCTGTTTTATTCACGTGCATCTCACCATGGCGCACACACCTACAAAATTTCATATCATTATGATTTGTAAAAAGAATATTAAAATTCAAAAACTATCAAACATATGTGATCGTGTGATAAACTTTGAATAGTGATAAAGCCGTAGGTGAAGTACTGTAGAATTTCACCTACAAGTGTTATATATATATATATATATATATATATAATACTAACTCATAAATATATATTTTTTATAATTATTGAAAATCATTACTTATTCGAATAGTTTGAAAAATCCCTAATCAAGGCAAACACCATAGGAATACAAAGAAATTTGCAAAAGCACCTTTATAATATGAATTAAAATAAATGTTATCCTAGTTAATGCAAATATTTAATATATAGTACTAATTTAAGAATATAAATTTTTTAATTACCTAATAAATAGTAATATTATAATTTTCTTTATTTATTGGAATTCGATTCAATTATTTCCTAAAAAGAGGTGTATTCACATCCAATGAAATAAGAACCAAAATGATATTTTGTAGAGCTCGAATCAAGAAATACAATTACAGTTTCATGAAATAAGCGATTTATCTACAAAATGAGACACATCGAAAGAAATGATTGAGAAAAGATAAAAAATTCAACAATATTGCAAATATTACTCAAAAATCGATTTTTACAGTAGATTTGTTGAGAACATCTCGAACAACGTGATCTACAAAGCCTCAATCAACAAATTGTATTAGGGCTTCTGTATATCACTCAAAGATCTACAAAAACAAACAAAAATAACTTGATTTCACATAATATTCTAAACAAATAAAAATCAATTCCATATATAAACTAAGGAGAAACATGATGGAAATGACCAAAATGTCGGTAAAGCAAGAAAAAATGCATAGAATGCAGAGAAAATAGAATGTTATTTACCTTGTAGATCATTAAAAGATCTACAAAAACAAACAAAAATAACTCAATTCCATATTAAAAAAAAAAAATCAACTTCACATTAAAATTAAGAATAACATGATGGAAATGACCGAAAATGTAGGTAAAAGTAATGAAGAACTGCATACAAATGCAGAGAAAACGGAATATTACTTACCTTGAAAACACAAAAGTTTGTTTTCACAATAGATTCTTTGATAACATCTCGAAACAACTTGATCTACATAGCCTCAATCAACAAATCATTTTAGGGCTTCTATAAATCACTCAAAGATCTACAAAAACAAGTAAAAATAACTCGATTTCACATAATATTCTAAAAAATAAAAATCAATTCATAAAAATCAATTCCACATAGAAACTAAAGAGAACATGATGGAAATGACCGAAATATAGGCAAAAGCAATGAAAAAATGCATAGAATGTAGAGCAAATGAAGGTTGTTCACCTTGTAGATCACTAAAAGATTAAAAAAACAAACAAAAAGAATTTAATTCCATGTAATCCAAAAAAACAACTCAACTTCACATAGAAACTAAAGAGAACGTGATGGAAAAGACTGAAAAAAAAAAAAAAGCAATGAAAAAATACATAAAAAAGAAAAAAAGAGCATTTACCTTGAAAATGCTATTACAATTAATATCTAGGATTATGGAGAAGATAAGAGGAGGAAAGAGTGTGTTTGTGATAGAGGGGGGTGCCGTGAGAAACAGAGGAGGAAAAAAGAGCCCGGAGGAGGAAAGGAAGAAGAGATAGAGAAAGATAACGTTATGAAAAGAGAAGAAGAGATAGAAATATCGGAAAAAGAGTGGAGAGAGAGAAAAAACTTCTTTATGGAAAGAGAGGGAGAGAAATAGTGCATTATAAAAAGAGAGAGATATAGAAATATGGGATAGAGAGGGAATAGAATCCATTATGGAAAGAGAGGGAGAGAGAAATATGGCATTATGAAGAGAGCGAGATAAATATATAGGGAGATATTTAAAAGAGTTATGAAGAAAGAGAGATAGTAGAGGTGCATGAGAATATTGGTGAGAATAGATAAGAGAGAAAATCGTGAAAAAGGAAAGAGATTTATTAGGAGAAAAAAAATATGAGAAAACTTTTAATAAAACTGATTTATTATGATAGAGAGAGGAAGAGAGATAGATGACCTGCATTGCATGAGAGAGATGTGTAAAGGAGATAAAAGAGAGTTACTAATATGGTGAGAGACGTGACAAAAGAATATAGAAGGTGTTGCTCTCGTTTAAAATATAATAATAGATTTTCATGTCCTTGATGATCATAAGCTTCTTTTTTTCCTCAGTGATATGAATGAATAATATATAATAATAGATATTCATGTCCTTGATGATTATAAACTTTTCTTTCTCAGTGATATGAATGAAAGATTAACGAACATCCAAACAGAAAAACATCTCAATATTCGTATATTTTTATAATAAAAAAAAAAAACCAATATACATTACTATTTTTATCAGAAACTAAATAAAGTATTATTTTTAAAAATTTGCGGTAATTTTGAAAAACAATTTAGCCAAAACTTGCTAATCCAAATCAATGAACTGATACAATTTTTGAAGTAGTGGACCCGAGTCACCAATTCAATTTTTTAAACCTTGTTTCATTGTAGTTAGTAATTGATTCAAATAAAGAAAATATAAAAGTGAGGCCCTAAACAATCAAATTACAGCGCACCTCAAAAATTCACTAAAAAAAATTGTTTCAAATTGATCATTACGGCCTCAAAATGGCCTCAAGATGTATGAACATGCAAAACAACATATTTCAAATCTGAAAAATAATGTACCATATAATGCATTTTCTAGACTGCCAATTTCCATAATTTTAAAGTGTTTATAAATCTGCTCAATCTACACTACATTATTTACTATTTAGTTTTAAAGTACTATATATTTTTAAAGTATGGTTTTATAATTAGATATGAAAATTAACAAATATTTCTACTACCAAAAATCTTTCAACAATATTTGGCCTCAGCCTTGGACAAACCACACCCTTCAAATAAACAAATCAAACGTTCATTGGCGTAGCCTCAGTCTTATGCAATCCACACCGTTCAAATAATCAAATCAAACGTCCATTGAAGTCAAAATGCAAGTGAGAAATTTTATGATAGGCCCCCGTTGAAGTCCAGGTGCAAGTGTGAAATTTTATGGTGGGCTCCCAAATTGTATTTGGGTTGGAAGATCATACGGTGCCTCGATAGGCGACCATATCTCAATTCACAGTTGCAGATCCCACACTCCCAAATTGCAATCGGGTTGGAAAATCATGCGGTGCCTCAACAGGCGACCATAACTCAATTCATAGTTGCAGGTCCCACACTCCCAAATTGCAAAACAGTTAAAGCTAGTCCACTCATTCATTTGCATGATTGATTTTAGAACAATTGCTTCATCCCCAGAGCATCTGAATAAACATTTCACCAATCTCTGGTTTTTGTATCGGAGGACCGTGGAACAATCAATGTGAAGCACATTAACAAGACACCCAGCCCAGGCCTTTTCTTGCAGACTACCCAGACCAAACCTCAATCGTGATAAAGCTATTCACAAGCATTCCAATAATTTAAGACGAGGAAAGGATTACAAGACGTATGTTTATGTAGAAAGAAAGAGATCGAAGGTTTATTATAATGTGACCGGTCTTCATGACCATGGCAAGTGAAAAAGCAGGATGTTTTGTCATATACATGAAAAGCAGTATAAGAAAGAAATTCAGAAAACATCATCATCAGTCCTTGGGCAATGAAATGTTTTAAAGCTAACAGACCCATTCCATAGTAAGGATTCATTGCCATATAGGGTTCTCTGCAGGCTGAGAATGGAGCTAAATGATCCATTCTGTAGGAAGGATTCATCATCATATAGAGTTCTCTGCAGGCTGCGAATGGTAAGTGCGTCTTCTAAGTTGAGAATCTAAATTGGGCTGCTGCAAGTAGATTCTTGTAGGGTCACTTGGATCCACATATCTGTAACAATACATTATAACATTTCTGAGATGACAAATTAGGCCAATCAAACAAAATGAAAGTCAGCAATGATGCCAAAGCGCTATAGCTTACGCATGTCTCATCATTTCATCTACTGGAGGTTGGTTTGCTTGTAAAGGATCCACGCGAGGCGTATGATCGTTCGAAGAAGTATTAGTGACATGTTGATTATACTGTTTCACGGATGCTATCAGATTGAAAAAGAGTGGAACAAACGTTCCACAACCACCTTCCTTGAATAAAATCTTGAAAGAATGAGGTGAATAGAGAGCCCTGTGTTGATCTTCAGGTACTACCTGAAATAGTTAAGACAATTAAGACCCAATTTGACACATGCTAAATGAAAATATATCAGAGCTCTTCGGGTACCGAATGACAACAGAAGAATGACCAGAAACTCCTAAACCTTAATTATACTTACAGGCTCAACAAGACCTGATATGTTATTGCAGAAGAATATAGGCTGATTGAATTTTTCATCATGCACATAAAGCTGCAAAAGGTGACACATCATAAATCATTGTGAGGGACATGAAAAACCAAACAGACACATGAGTTCATCATTATTCCTGTTTCAATAACCATTTAACTCATGATTATGATTAGGTACAATGACAAACTATAGATAATATCAAAGGTTGTAACATAAGGAACTGTCAAAGCGTACAGACATTTTTAAAGAATTACATGAAAACAGATATTCTAACTGCTGTGTGTGTCTTTCGTTTTTCCCAGGTCCACAGCTGTGCATCATGAACATGAGCAACCAACCCATCTTAAAAGGAGACTGAGTTACACTCCAAATAAATATTTCTAAAACTTAACAGTCAGATCAACTACTCATGAAGAGCTGTCAGAATTTAATTGATCCAGAAATTTTCTAATCACATGTTCCCCGTGCAAATGATGAAACCTAGATCCATCCAAAGAAAGATTCAAGTATATAGGAAGTTGCAGATCCAGAACAAGACCATTAGCAGAAAGCTCACAGAGTATATGAATCCAATTCTGCACTAATGGAGAGGAAGTGGACTTTCAACAATTCACAGTCAACATCATGGATGGATCTGGGACAATGCTCTTTAAACGGGAAAACTCAAACCAAGCAACAGAGTCCCTTCCCAGACTAGAGTGATCCTGCAAACTCCCTAAAGGAACCCTTTGAGCATAAGTTATCATTAACAATTCAAATCCCGACCAGAACATAAGAAACGGACTCTTTTGTAAGTTAAAAATAAAACTCTTTCCTGGATGAATTTTGCGAACTTTGATTCTTCAAAATACAAGTTATCTATGATGTATGAACAAATTCCTCATAAAAAACAAACCGAGCATGATATCAGTGAAAACCAGTGGAGCACATGTTACAAAACAAACTACAACCACTTCATCATGCACTCATGTTCTCTTTTAGTATTAGGTTCCCAATAGCCTAGTTGAACCCCAAAATTAAGCATTCCAAATGTTCTTGCAAGTCATATACATGATATTGATCAGAAGAATAACCAAAAAGAGAATTCAATTAAAACAAAGAAATAACTAAAAATAACACCACCCACTGTTTCATGCCGAATCATCCTAGAATATGAAGATCCACATATTTATCTGCATGAATCAAGTGATCCACTCCCACCTAAAATTACAATGGAATCTAAAGCTTTACGTCTAAACAATGATTTTAGTTTTCTTAGTGTCTTTTGGCATCATAACTTCATGTATTCACGTGAATTTGTGAGAGCATTATGAACTCCAGCAATGACATTCATTTTGTAACTACATTTAAGAAAAAATATTCGTAGGACCAGTACAACTGCAGATGGCTATGATAGCAGCTAAATGCCTCATGAGAAATTTATTTCTGGCAGGCAAGGACGAGAGATCCTAAAGATTCTTACCAGAGGCATATCAAATGCCCTAAAGTCCCCAACAGGTTTCTTTGCAACAAACAACATGCGCACATTTGACAGGTAAATGGTACCCTTGGCTTTAATTTTACCTCCAGGAGCTCTAATAAGAAAGAAATCAACTCACCAGGTTAGAATACTACTGCAGAATCAAAACCTGAACAAAACTGCACTTTAGCGCATCAAGCCTACAAGTATGACGAGAGGCTTATAATAACTCTTTCCTTTTCTATTATTGTTGTTGACGCATTGATTACCACTAGAAGTTCCATGAGTTTGATTATATATATATATTAATTTTTTTTTAAAGGACATTACCATTAGTTGGTTATCCATGTAAAAAACCAAATGCCACGGAAAAAGCATTTGCATGCCAAAAGCCAAAATCATATTTGGAAGTATAGAAAATTGAATTTCTTGTCCGCCATATTTATAGATATTAAATAGCGAATATGTGGTAATACAAACTAGTGGTAAACATAGCATCACAATAGGAAGAGGTCACAGGCAATCTTTGTATACAACATGCTAACAAGTTTATAGTTATTAGCTAAAAATTTAGCCACTTGTTTCAAAATTCCAACCAATTTCACTAAAGAATAGGAGAAGACCACAGTTCTGTTGTTTTACCTTGTTGTTTTACCTACTGCAACAAGTAAAAATGATAACAAGATGAATGATTGCTTATCAAGTGAAAATGACAAAAAACTGATAATAAGAAGGAACTCAACTCCCCAAAAGAAATGTTTCAGAAACCAGCATTATTCTGCCACACAAAATTAAGGGGAATGCAGCGCCAGCATATCACCCCTCGGTACTACCAAGCATTTCCACACTTACCTCACATATTCCAATATCTCCTCCAAGCTCGCCAAGCATTTTGCATGCATTTCTCAGGGTAAAACATTTGAAGTATTCATCAGAGTTTTCCACAGAATTTTCAGCACAAATCTAAATGCTTTCATTTTCATAAAAGATTCCCTATTATGCCATCATATTCTACGTACCTATTACGATAATGGAAACTAAGTTTTGCTATCTTCTTTTCTCTGCATTTCCAGTGGAAATTTATCAACAAAAAGACGATATCATTTTTCATGATACCAAAAAGCAAATTTTCAACAAATTGTTCAATGACCAATCTGACATGATAACGAGGCAATGTTCAGCCAAAAAAGATAACACACAATACTTGAAGCTTTCTAGTTCAGTCACAAGGAACTACTCCTCTTTCCTACAATCACTTAGTGCAGATCATCGGGGTCCATAGTAATCAAAAACTCTTTTTGTCAATGGCACTCACGTCCAAGGGCCACCACGACTCAAAACTTTGTCACTGCAGTGTCATTTATGCTGTCATTCCCCATACAAGATGGCCTCTTCTTTTTCGTTCTTCATTCTCATTGAGGATTGAATAGACAAAGATAATGAAGCTGTCATTCCCCATACAAAATGGCCTCTTCTTTTTTGTTCTTTATTCTCATTGAGGATTGAATAGACAAAGATAATGAAGCTGTCATTCCCCATACAAAATGGCCTCTTCTTTTTCGTTCTTTATTCTCATTGAGGATTGAATAGACAAAGATAACGAAGCTCAGTTTGTTTCTAAAAGCTCAAAATCAAACTTGGCAAATGTCTATGAGGAGAACCGTCACATAATTGACTTCCTTTTCTACATGTGTCCCCCACCAAAGGTCTTCAAAAGTGATTCCTTATCTGTTGCCACAATAAAAGTGGAGGTGGCAAGGAAATTTCTGCAATTTATTCGAGTCACATAAGAAGAAACTAGTAGAGGTGGGATTTGGATGTTGTTTCAATGATCTCATGGGGCCACGAAAGGTGTTTCCTTAGTGGGGCAACAGGCAAATCAATGTGGGGCTAACCATTGAATTTTTATCCGTGCGTTTTCCTCGTAGTATTTTTTTTTTAGTTGTGAAGCATTATAGGATCACTTAATACAGTATGAAATTTTTCTCTCATTCTTTTCTTCTTCTATTTGGAGTGTTTTTCTTTGTGAATTTGATCAAAGTTGCCTAGAATGAGGTTGCGAATTAAAGCAATCCATAAGAGAAGAATTACCCAATTGCAAACATACAAACAGAGTGATCCCCTAAACTAACCATTCCATAAAAATTAGGTTAATGAAATGGCCAAGCTTACATCCATCCCATGAACAAGCATCATTAACACCAACAAAGCAGATCAATTGGTGCCCAATTTTTGGGCTATAATTTAACCTAATCAGAGAATGCTCAGTTCTATACAACATGTACCACAACCTGTATGGATAACAAAGAATTTAAAAGGACAAGAAAAAACAGACGTAGTACCCATTGATAAAGAAGAAGACACCAGACAGAGAGGGAGATGAAAAGAATAATGAAGCACACAATACGAAAGAAAAAAGAAAAAGGAGAGAAGGGAAGAAACATACGTTGGGATTTTATCAATTTCGAATTCGACGCCATCACGAGACAAGATGAACATCTCGTTCTCGAAGGGGACGGGCATGCCGTTTGGCAATAGTGGGGAATTCAGCGCCATCTCTTCGATTGATTTTTTCTTCGCCCAAAAACCTGAGAGAGAGAGAGTTGCAGGCAGGCAGGCAGGCAAAACCGCAGAGACAGAGAGAGAGAGAATCACGCCTTCTGTGCTTTCTGGAAGGGTCTGGCGCGTGTCAAAACGTTTGTATAGAGAGAGGGGATGGTTTCTGGAACTTACGCGACCGCACACTCGTGTCTTACACGCGTCGGGTCGATTCCCTCCCGAATTAAACTGGCTGAGCGAGAGCACCACACCGCCTTCTCCAAATAATATTATTATTCATTCCCTACTTTTCCTTGCTCCATTCCCTCCCAATTTAAACTGACTGAGAGAGAGCACCCTTTTCAAATAATATTATTCACTCCTTACTTTACCCTTTCGGGCAAATATAGGCCCAAATTACCCCCAAACAATTTTTTTTCTCTTTTTTTTTACAAATATATATTTTTTTTAGCAAATATCTCCCTAGCAAACAAAAAAAAAAAAGTCTAAATTACACTCCTTTATTTTTACCTACACCTCTCTCCTCTTTCCTATGAATCCTATGAAAGGCAGTCCTGCGTATTCTTAAGGCGGTCCGACAGGCAGGGTAACATTGGTCCAGTAAATAACAGTGGCAGTCCAGCAATACAGGGGTCTGGGGATCAGAGAGGTGCTCTGGCATTTGCAACAAGGGGTCTGGCGGTTGAAAAGTGCAATCTGGGACTCATTTTTTTGGAATAAAGGGTCCAACAATTTAAAGTTCTGTTCGCCATAAATGCTGGGGTTCGGCAATTCGATGGTGCGGTCCGACAATTGCGATTCGGGTCTTACAGTCCACGTCAAATCTAGCCAAAATGATTTCTTGTGTACAGGAAGGATATTTTTGTTTAAAAAAATAAACTTTTTGATTTGGGAGCATTTGCTAGAAAAGTACATTTTGGATAAAAAAAGTGTGAAATAAAGTTTGGTCAAGGATAACTTGCATACAAAGTTGTTTTTATGTGAAGAAAATAAAAAGTTGTTTTTATGTGAAGAAAAAAGAGTTGTTTTTATGTGAAAAGAAAAAAAAGTTGTTTTTATGTGAAAAAAAAAAAAAGTTGTTTTTCTTAAAATAAAAAGCTATTTTTATGTGAAGAAAAAAAAAAGATTTTGAGTAAAAAAATAGCGCATTTTACAACATATTATCTAGACAGCCTATTTTTAAAATTTTCATGTGTTTATAGATGTACTTAATTTGAACTATGTTTTGAATTTAAAATTTTATAATTAAATATGAACATAGATTCTCAAGTCATCTTGAGATTTTTTTTATGCCAAAATTATATATTCTAATAAAATTTGAACGTGTGCTATAATTTGATTGTTTAAGATTGCAACCTTAGGCAAACCACACCTGTAAATATATACATACCTTCACCCTTTCATCCTTCACTTGCAAATGGGAGACATTATTGGCAAAACATTTTCAAAATGTGCGAAAAACTTAATAATTCAATAAGGGGTCGTTTGGGTAACTGAAAATCTATCACGTGACAATAGATTACAAGGAAATATGACATTTCTATTGTTTAGGTGCACGTAATCGTAAGGAAATGGAAAGAGATTACGCGAGATTTCTCCATCCATTACGCACAGTGATAAGTGAAAAATCTATTACGAGAGTGACGGGTAATTTTGGTAAATCTTTCGAATGCGTTTTTGCCTATCTCTTATTAAAAAAATTATAGTAACTAGGTGGTCCCTCCTTTTTTAAGCTCGTCCCCTTTACCTGAAAGCATCAACTCTCACATAAAAACAAAAATAATAAAAATAAAAATTAGTAATCAATGATAAATTACACAACACAATCATAATAAAATATTTCACACAACACAATCCTCATAAGAGATTCCTAAAATCTCAATTCAAATAACATACATCTTTAGTCTTCACTAATACCTCAAAATTTTATATTGCAATTACCAAATCTTTTAGTTTACTAATCAAACTTCTTCCCTTTTTTTAACTCGTACCTTATAGATTTTGAATTTAGTATCAGAAATTTATTGTTTATTTGAAATTATATAGAGAGACATTTGAAAGATTTCTATATAAAATAAATAAACATAAGGCTTATCATAATAAAATCATTTCCAATCATATTGTTCCAATGACTTATCATGTTGAAACCAATGTCATATTAGAAAACATGTGATTGCATATAAGTGCCAAAGGCACTTAAAATAAGTATAAAATGGCGTCATGACCGTAAAATGGTACAAGTTGTTATTAGAAAATCTTTTTGGAATGGTGATAATGTTATTATTAGAAATCTTTTTGGAATGGTGTGATGATGATTTTAATTCAATATTTTAGTGAAATTTTGTGACAAACATGAATGAAATGATGATTCTGCATTTCAATGGAATTTTGTGACAAAAAATAAATAAATGATAGTTTATAAGCATGTGTTGGTAAAATGTTGGTAATGCTTTTTCTATATTTCTTCCAGACATAGCCAAACAATAATAATGTATTTCCTAGGGTGCATCTAAATGCTACCCAAACAGTAACAATCCATTTACAGGTAATGTATTCAGATACTATATTTCCAGGTATCCAAACGGCCCCTAAGTATAAATGTAATTAATTCAATGATGAAGTGGTTACTTGAATTATCAATTTTTATTATTTAATGTATTTAGACAATATATTTCCAGGTATTTAAACGGCCCCAAAGTGTAAATGTAATTAATTCAATGATGAAGTGGTTACTTGAATTATCAATTTTTATTATTTTTTTAGGTAATTCAGTGGAGAAAGACAAGCCCTCCTCATTTTTTTAAATAGATTAAGATTAGCTTTTTGAAGATATTATGGTGGGAATAAAGGTGTTATGATGGGAATAAAAACCACAATGCGGTGACCGAAGTGTTAGTGGTGGGAATGGAAACCACTACGGTGATTAAGGTGTGGATCCCAGCCCCTTTTCCAAATTATCAAAATTCCTATGTGGCTTTAACCTTCGACAACAAATTCTAAAAAGTACATCATGATCGAGGTTTAGAACCTGTAACTATTATTAGAAGTCTTTTTATGTAAACTGCATTGTGGTTTGGTTTGTACAAGGTGTCAAACTTGAATAATCAAAATAAGGCACATCTTTAAATCATTTCATAAGATGCAGCTCTGGTACCAAAAACTCCCATTATGCCTTAGAAATATTTTTTTAACGCTAATAAAAGAGTTAATACTCTAAGTGCAGATCAAACACATACATAAAAACTTGATCGTTTTGAAAGTTTGACCAGTTTGTCAATCCAGATGATATGTTACAAGATGCACTATATTTAAGTTTCAAAAGCCCTTTTTTATCCACATATCTCGACCTCAAGAAGATCAATTAGTGGGTTTTTTAATGCTGGAACTACCTTTTATGCCGGTTTTCTTAGGTGCATAATATTTCTATATTGTAAGGTAGACGTCTTACAAAAGCTCTTATCCTAACATAAGTACCCCGACTTGTTCTGGATTCCAGACCTCAAACACAGATTTTTATGAAAAAACATGTTTTAGGATTGAAATGTGAAGCAAGCAATAATTTTGTTTAGTTGTTCATAATTCCAAATCCAAAAGATAAATGCCTACAAAGAGACCATGTATCATTTTTGTAGGCATTTATCTTTTGGATTAGTTACTTTCCGGATGTGCACAGAATTCCCGAGTTCGTCAATAGCCCGTTGAGTATCATGCACCCTAACATGTATTTATCATATTTGTAGGTTGCACAAATGTGTACAAGAAACCAATGAGAACATATTTGAAAAAAGTACAGGAATGCAATATGATGTTATTTTAAATCTCCTTTGAAATATCATACATATTTAAAAAAGGTTTGCAAGTTTGAACCAATGAAGCATGGTATACCATCCTCCAAAGGGTATTCACCATCGTTTGTTGCTGATGGAGAGCACTGCCCAATGATTCTAAAAACTAGTCAATCTCTTCTCTAACTTATTTTAATATACTTTTCCTTTGACAAATCATGCAATGAAAGGTTCCTTCGATGTACCTAGTCTCTGTTTCTTTCAGGGAAGAAAATAATCGATACATTAACTCCACCAAGAAATTTACCCCACCCATCACCATCCCCAAACACATAAAACGAAAGAAAGAAAAAGTTTAACTTAATCAAGAAGCAACCATTTACTTGCTATTTTAATTAAAACAAGACGAGGACGAATTAATCTAATGGGCATGGGCATGCAATAAAATCTTCGTCAACTCCTTGCACATTTGTATGAGATATTTCCACCACTTAACACACATGTAGGCCATCAATCTCTGCCATTTCCTCAGCATCATGCAGAGTAATTCTTGGCCACCACTCTTCTCAGCGGCAATCCATAACATCTGGTATAGTAGGTGCATTGGTCTTCAATCATGTCCATTGAGTTCAGACAGTACACTCTGAGGGACAGGATTCCATGGGGCCACAACCTCTACTGGCATTGAATTCAAGATGTAAGCACCCAATTAGAGATAGGCTTGGTGGGTACACTATTATTACATTACAAACTAGACGACAGTTTTGCTCCCAGGAATCATCTGAACTGTCCCTTGGAAGCAGCTATACTCAAGCTTTCGGATGCATTGATTAGAATGAGCAGACACTGGCTAGCAAAGTGTTCATTGAACATTTTCCGAGCCAAAGGCAACTAAATCAATGGGGACTAAACAAAAGAAAAAGAATGTATTCCTCTCCTCAGCCATAACTGATAAGCAGTCATATGGAACGCATCATAGCCTCTTGGAGTGGCATGCCATCTGAAGTGTTTTCGAACTATCAAGAGGTTGGAATACAGACCAATATATGTTTTTCTCGGTATTGACATCAGAATCTGTTTCAGAAACCTTACGTCTCCATGGCTAACAATGACAGCAAACTTGGTCCAGTCTAAGACATTTGCAAAGGGAAGATCATAATGGTCTGAAACTATAACAGGAACACAACCATAGTTCAGTGCATTGGAGATCCTTGCGGTGTTAACCTCATATCCCTTTACGTGCAAGCAGTAGCGGCTCCTCTTAAATCCTTCCTCAACTGGGAATGGGGGGTATCCGGAGAAAACATCCATGGAAGTGTCATTCTGCCATGTTGCTATCAGCTCTTGACGAACCCGGGAATTCTGAGCACGTCCTGAGAAGAAAATAAGCCTTGTCCTGCAATAGAGGGAAAAGAAAAGAATCTAGCAATAATCACATTGAATGCTAGCTGAACTCAAGATAGTATAACTAGGAAACAAGAAAGATTATCAGAGCCAAAGAAGTACTGGCAACAGGAACGGTTTAACTACAGCCATCATTCATATATGCTTTGAAGGAACTCATGCACTTAGGGAATCAGATTAAGGTGCTCCTTTTTTTTTTCTTTTGGTGTGTGAGATGTTGTTCTCACTAACATGAAAAGTAGTATTTCATACAATGGATGAAGACATTGCATCATGCATTTACTTACACGTGGCAGTCAATTCTCTGCACAAAATCAGCACAACAGACCAAAACAACACCACCTTATGGACAGCTTGTTTAATGATTTCTCAATAGTGAGCTTTTGGTGAGGCTCAGTGAATATATCTGCTAGCAGTTGTTTGTCGGAGCTCTGTAATAAGTAGCCTTTATATCTTCCACGTCATAACTTTTCATTGTTGAAGTAAAATCAGCTTCAATATGCCTAAAATTCTCAGAGAAGGAATGGCCCACAGACCTCTTATCAGAATGTGTATTGACTGGACCTGAAGTATCAGCCTCCAAATCCTTTGGAAGAGATGATCTCAGTGATTAAACTGATGTAGCTGCTATAGATCTTTACTTCTCTTGAAACCTAACTTGGATACAGTGTACTCTTATGTATCGATTGGCTATGGAGCATCAATATCGAAAATCCTTTGGAGGAAACAATCCCCATTATCCTTTAGATATGGTTTCTATAAATCCATACTTTTGTTGTTACCCAAGCTGGATACAATGTTGGGAGGATATAGGAACTCAAAAACACCAATTATTGACTAGATTTTCTGTGATTCATGCACCTTGTTCAGTCAGCCTCAAAAGAAGGATAAAGGCTAAGTAAAAGAGTGAGAAACAAACTCCTCCACAACGGCCCTCTTATATATACTCACAATCAATCAACTTATTTACTGTTCTATTGGTTGTTTGATTCTGCCCTTGATAATCACATTGGAGCTACTTGTTCAAATTGTCTTTTCCGTCTTAAATGTCTCATGTGCTGATTCTCTTCTGCCCCTCTGTCCATTACTATAATTTTGAATACTTTTGTAATCAGTACTTCGTCCCATTCATGAGAGATGCCCTGGTGAGGTTTGTGCATTGAATGATTTTGCATTTGAAAAGCCCATGGGATCTTGTGAAGTAAAATGATAATCCACATCAAAGTGATGCAACGTAAGCTTGCTGGACCGATAACCCACGTCCCAGGATCTAAGCCATGCTCTCATATGAGAAAAGATTTCTTGATTACAATTTTAAATATTAAAAATAAATAAAAAACCTAAACCTAAGTTATTAAATAAAAGAGTTTTGCAAGAAGGTCTCAAAGTGGAGAAACTCACATACTGAACCAGAATTAGCAGCGAACCATTTATGCATGCATGGGATTTGCAACACTTCATATCAGGAACTACTATATGGGGTTTGCAACATTTCTTCTATGGAAGTATAGTACATGGAGCTTCTTGGGGTTATCAACACTTCTTCTCAACAGGAAGACCAAATGCAGCTCTCCTACCAATAATTTTCTTTCTCAAGTGTATTTCATGTTAGGAGGAAGTGCCCATTGAAAGAAATCTAAGAAATCTCTATTTTTCTGCATTCAAACTTGTGGGAGAAAATCCCATATATGTATACAGAGGTGGTATAGAAAAAAGGAAAGAAAATTGCATGATATACAAAAAAGGTAAGAAAAGACATCCTTCTACAGCCTGACGGATCAGAGAAATATTATCCTATCTAGAAAGTAAATAAAAAAAGTATATACAATTTCACACTCCCCCTCAAACTCGTGATGGTCGGAAAGGAACCATTGAGAGTTTGAAAACAAGGCTTGAAAAACAAGGAGCATTATGGGACTTTGTAAAGAAGTTAGCAAGCAGTTTTTCAAAAAGCGCTAGGTGGCACCCAGGCGGCCGTGGGCGTCCAGGCCGCTCAGCGCCTAGGTGGCCCAATTGAAAAAAAAAAGATAGAAATAGAAAAGAGAATTTTGATAATCCACAAGACCATAATCTATATTTTCATACAATGCTAAACCAGTAAAACCATACAAGCATACACTGATAGTCTGATATACTGTAGACGGTATCCACAAAAGTTAGATCGTAGAACTAGAAACTAGAAAGTAGAAACTAAAAATAAGAAAAAAAAAATATACAGAAATTCAGAAAATATACAGCCTAGGACATAATAGTCAACACTCGACACCAAGAGTCTTCAGTCATCATCATCATCACCAGAAGGAATACGGTAAGCCTCATCATATGTATCAAATTCGAGGCCATCATCATCAGAGTCATCTCCCTCTTCAATATAACGCTCGTCCTCTTCTGTTTCTTCTGAATCTGCATCTACCTCCTCTTCTTATACCTCCCTCTTATTGGTATGTGCAAATGAGGCCCTAGGAGTCTTGACTGCTTTACCATTTTCTATCTTTTTGTGCTTCCATGAACTCAAATATTGTATAATCTCTGCCCTGGTAGCTTCAAGAACATTTTTATAGGGACAACATCCTATTTAATACCAGCAAGGTGTTTTTTAAAATGGTAAATGCCCCCATAAGTATCCTTTCTACAATAATTATATTTAATACGATTTTTGTTATTCGGATTCGGATTATAACCATACTTCCAACCCAGAACATAACTTCTAGAAGAACCTGGAGAAGATATTTCCATAGAACAAGGCTCACTTTCATCCTCTTCTGGTTCTTTTAAATTCAGAGATTGTCTAATCTCATCCAGCACAGCTTTAGGAACTTTTTTACAAGAAGCAACATTCCTTTTAATATTGGCAAGATGTTTCTTGAATCGATTAATACCCCCATCGGTATCCTTTTCACAAAAATTACACCTTATACAATTTTATCGTTTGGTTTTGGGTTATAACCATACTTCCAACCCGGATCACTTCTTCTAGAAGAACCAAAAATAGATCTATTCAAATGACAAGCATTTTGTTCCTGTTTTTGCTTTATAGAACTCATATATTGCTTAATCTCCTTTTAATACCGGCAAGAAGTTTCTTAAACCGGTTTATGGCCCCTTTTGTACCTGTTTCACAATAATTGCATCTAATGCAATTTTTGTCATTTTGATTCGGTTATATCCATAATTTCAACCCGGATCTCCACTTCGACTAGATCCTGAAGAAGACATCTCAAAATAAAACAAGCAATATAAAAAATAAAGTTTTACACTTACTTTGATTGTTCGAACTCCAAAGTCCAAACTCCCACCTCTGAGATATTTTCTGGAGCTAAAATAATAAAAAAACACCCTCTAATAGGATTAAAAACCTCCAAAACTAAATATAATCTACTTGGATGATGTTTGGATTTATTTTCCGTAACATTGAGAAACACTTCGATCCAATGAAAATCACAAAATTTAGTTTTTTTTATGTTTCTTTCTCTCTAAAATGGGTTATTGTGGGTTTAGTTTCAAATGAACCTAAAACCCATCCTTAAAAGCCTTTATGTTTCAAAAAACTCATTTCCGCCCCTAGGCGGGATGCAGGCCCTGGGCTGGGCATTGAGTGCCCGCCTAAGCGGGCAGGGACTGCCGCTTAGGCCTGGGTGACGCACTCAGGCCTCCTGGACTGCCTAGGCACTGAGCGATCCGCTTTTTTTAACAATGTTAGCAAGTTGTACTGAAGATGAGATATGGCAGAGAGATTGTCCAAGTTAAATATTATTGTCGAACAACAATTTTGCTTCAATATGCTTGGTGCGCTAATGAAATTCTAGATTCTTAGCAATATAAATAGCACTTTTGTTATCGCAATACAAGGGAATAGAAGCAAAAGATCCACACCCAAGTCAACTAATAACCAACGATGCCAGACAATCTCTGTCATTGTTTGAGCCATGGCTCAAAACTCAGCTTCAGCTGTGGACTGAGCAATATGTTTTTGCATCTTGCTCTTCTAAGAAATAAGGGAGTCATTAAGAAAAATACAAAAACCTATAGTACACTTCCAATCAGTAGTGACTCACGCAAAATCAAAATCAGCATAAGCACAAAGCTCAAGAGTTGAAGATGTAGAGAACAACATAACACGATCAAGTGTGTCTCGAATATAACAAATAATACGTAAAACGGCTGCCGAGTGTACAAAACGAGGGGCACTCAAGAATTGACTGACAAGATGAACAACAGAAGCTTATGCTCGGCCAAAAGATAGTCAGATAAATCAAGCTTCCAACAAGCTGTCTGTAAAATATAGAATAAAAAAGGCGCTCACCATCTGTAGAACGAAGTTTGCCATTCAACTCATTATGTGTATCAACATGCTTTGTATCATCAGCTAGACGAGCGCGACAAACAATATTTGAGGCATACTTAAGTTGCGAAAGCAAATACCCATGGGAAGAATAAGCAACCTCTAGGGCCACAAAATAATTTAAGAATCCTAAATCTTTTATCTCGAAAAGTTGACTGAGTTGTTGCTTGATCAAATGAATGGTGGCCCCATCATCACCAGATATAATCATATCATCAACATAGAGTACGAAAATTGCACGTCCTCTGGATGTGACCAAGACAAACATGGCAAGGTCATGATAGCTCTGTCGAAAACCAGTGGAGACGACAGCAAAACTAAAATTTTCAAACCAATCACGAGGAGCTTCTTTAAGCCCATAGAGTGCTCGTCGTCATCAACAGGCTCTATTGCCAGGATCTAAACCTCAAGAGGTAAGGTTGCCATTAAGAAATGCATTTTTTACATTAAGTTGATTTAATGGCCATTGGCGAACAACAACCACAGAAATCAGCGTACGAACTGTAGTCATATGGGCAACAGGAGCAAAGGTTTCAGCAAAATCAATCCCAAATTATTTATTATAACCTTTAGCCACAAGTCGTGCCTTATAACGCTCGATATTGTCATCAGCTTAGTTTTGATTTTGTACACCTACCGGCAGCCAATGACACTTTTATCTTTAAGAAGAGGGACAAGATCCCAAGCGTGCATTCTATCAAGGGTGGTCAATTCTTCTACCATGGCATGTTGCCACTTATGTTGTGTGGCAGCTTCCTCATAAGTCTACGGCTCAGAGTAAGAATGAACAGAAGCAAGAAAGGCTCGATAGTTTGGTACAAAAATTTCATAATCAACAAAACGAGCAGGTAAGACAGATACACAACTACTACGACTGATAGAAGGAATTTGTACAGGAGCAGCGGATGTAGGTGCTTGAGGTGGTTCATCAATGGTAGTCGAATGTTCTATAGCTAGACCATCTGTAGCAAGTATGGGTGAGGTTCTAGACACATCAGAAACATCATCAGAAAAAGAGATTAGAAGAGTCAGCAGCAGGTGCAGGGGAATGAAAAGGATTATGCTTAGAAATACCACATGTCAAAATACTAAAGGTTTCTTAGTCAAGGGGTCATAACATCTATATCCTTTTTAGTGGTCAGGATAACCTAAGAAACAATATTTAACTGCTTTGGCGGACAATTTATCTCGTTCAGATATTGGCAATAGAACAAAGCAAGTGCAGCAAAAAACATGAAGAATAGAATAGTCTGGGGGTTGAGCAAACAGCCATTCAAAAGGAGAACATCCAGACAAAGTAGCAGAAGACATAATATCAATCAAACAAATAGTTGTGCGAACAGCAGAAGACATAATATCAATCAAATAAACAGTTGTGCGAACAGCTTTTGCCTAGAAAACTTTTGGAACCGAAGTTAACAAGAGAAGAACTTGGGTAGTTTCTAAGATATGGCAAGGTTTTTGCATTCAGCAGTACCATTTTGTTCAAAGTATATGGACAAGATTTTTGGTGTTGAATATTTTTGTCAGAAAGAAACTTTTGAAACATTCCACTGATATACTCCCCGCCAGAATCTGATCGTTAGACTTTGATTTTGGTAAAAAATTGAGTTTCAATGCATGAAAGAAACCGCACAAAAATGTCATATTGTTCATTGCGGTTATTCATAAAGAAAACTCAAGTATATCTAGTGTGATCATCAATAAAAATAACATAATACTGTGATCCCTCTTTGATGCAAGAGGAGCTGGTCTCTAGACATCAGTATGCACTAGATCAAACATAGAAGCAAAAATTAAATTGTTGCGATTGAATGATAATGCATGCATTTTAAAGAGTTTGCATGACTCACCATCTTTAACAATAGAGAGTTTTAGAAGAAACCGAATCAATAATTCTATAAGAAAACAAAATTCTAATTGAGAGGTAGGAATATGACCCAGACATTGATGCCACAAAGATCCTTTGCCAGGTATTGCAGTACATAGAGGTTTCAGTGGGATTTTTAAATGAAGATGTTCCAAATAGTAGAGATCACCAACTTTATGCCCAGTCTCAATCAGTTTCCTTGACTGTCGATCTTGCACATGATATCCAAAGGGAGTGAACACAACATTACAATTGGAATGGGTAATCTGACCAATAGAAAGCAGATTCATGGCAATGGAGGGAACCACTAGAAACATTAAATTTACCAGAAGGATCAGAGGATGTAGTAATTGATCCAACTTTAGAAACTTTCATAACAGTATCATCAGCAATGTGAATAGTATCAAAACAAGGTTTACAATCAACAAGAATAGATTCATTGGCTGTCATATGGCAAGAAGCACCAGAGTCTATTAACCAAGAAGCTGAAATAGTATTATCTGAAAAAGCAGATGCAAATTTGTTGGGCAATTTGGATTGTGAGAGTAAGGGAGTTATTCCAATGTAAGAATGATTGATATGGAAGCAACACCAACAGCTGGTGGTGTTAGACCAACTGTTCCAGTACCAACAGTCATGATAGATTGCTAGGGAAGCATCCCTCTAAAGGCTGACTTGACGCAGCAGCTATTGAGCAAATGAACCTTTTTTTTGGGAATGTAAAAGCTTGGAGAGAGAGAACGAGAGAGAGAGAGAATACACACCACACAATAGCCAAATAAAGAACACGCCCAAATAAAGAGTGTTGAAGGGCTTCTGTATATTGGATGAAGCAAGACTTTCTAGCCCCCAAATCCACTCCACCTCCAATGAATCTTTAAAACCCTCTCTTTGTTTCTCTCTACTTTGTCTTGGCGGAGAATAAAAACCCAACTTCACAGATGGTGAAGACACCTTGTAAATTAAAAAAAAAACCAAAAAGCCAATTTGCAAAAAGCAAGAGGCAAAAGTGGAGGAAGCAGGGATCAAGAAACGATGAATATTAGAATAAGGTAGAAAGGCAAAAAGAAACACAAAACTCCAAGGTAAGGTTTCTATATAGTTACGAAGACTAGAGGAAAATAGGTTCAAGGTAAGATGGATTTCACTTTGGTTAGTGGAACGCAAACCAATAAAATGTAACGTATTTTGAAACTATCTGCAAAACTTGTTGAATTGGGGAAACAAAACCATGAGAAAGTGGTGAATATTGACTGACGGCTTCAAGAGAAAGAGCGGTGAGGTGTCCAATGGCCTAGTGAGAAGAAAAACAAAACGGTGATCATGGAGAGTGCGAAAACTACTAAACTCGATATCTGCACCATAATCTCACAAGGAAAGCTATCCAGATCAAAAATACCTAGCCGAAAAAAAAAAAACTAGTCCTTATTTTGCACTACCAGATTCGTCAGATATTGCTGATTACTGAAAACTGTTACGGCAATAGGTATGAGGATGAAATCATAGAAAATCGATCTAAGATAGAACAAGGCTATGATACCATGCGAAAAATAGGAGAAATCTCTATTTTTCGGTATTCAAACTTGTAGGAGAAAATCCCATATATGTATACAGAGGTGGAATAGAAAAAAAGAAAGAAAATTATATAGCCTGTATGATATACAAAAAAGGTTAAGGAAAAATATCCTAATACAACTTGTCTGATCAAAGAAATATTATCCTATCTACAAATTAAATAAATAAAGTATAGACAATTTCGCACTCATATTGTAGATGTAGAAACCAGTTAACTTACTTGCATATGTGTAAGCTGGGAAGAATACAATTTCTAGGAATTTATGTCCGGCTATGAGTTAGTGCTGACATTGTCTTTTTGGTGCTTGTAGTTATCCCTTACCAAAGGAGACTGTCACGATTTGAAATCAACCCAAGTTCCTTGAGTATATATGAGTTATAGACATTTAGTTCGATGTAAACATTGCGATGCAAAAATATCTACTTACCAAACAAAAAGAGGGAACAAGAGATTCTGATTATGCAAGGATCGGTTCATTTCTCTAAGACGATAAACTAACCTCTTGTTCATCCAAATTGTAGCTTGCGACATTAAGTTGACCATGTTAACATAGATACCATCAAATTCTATATATATATATATAAAAAAAAAACATAGATAGCATAAAAAAAGCTCCATCAGTTTATCAAGACTTTTAGGTCACTGAAGAGATGCTTCAATGAACTGCATAGCAAGGGAAACCAGTCCAATGCAACAAAACAATATAATTAACCTCTATTTAGCAGGTAATATATGATACTAGGAGAATAACAATAATTTCAATGATTATTGATGATGAAAGCACGCCATCACTACTACAAAACTATAAATGAAGCCAAAGGTACATGAAAAACTCGAAAATGGCAGAAACAATGTAGCAAATAACACGTATGTGGCCTGTACTATGAACCTATCTATTATGAATTTAGGAATGCAGGTAATCAAGAGAAATTCTCAAGAGAGGGGAAAAAAAGAAAACAAGAAAAAAAGAAAAGAAAAGAAACCACATATATGAACGGATGGTTAGACAAGCATCATCTTTCGAACCCCTACAATTGTGGGGAACAAATCATACCTTGAATTTGGGGAAATTAAAGTTTGGTTGAGGAGGTGAGGCCAGACTTGGGGCAACGCAATGTCCTTGTGAGAAACATAGAGCCTGTGGAAGTAGGTGGAGGAGCAGGCTACCTGAATGGCATTGTAGTGAAGATCCTCGTGTTTCGATGCAGCATCTCTCCCGACCGAATGGCAAAAAACAAAGAAGTGGTCCGCCCCCTTAGATGCATTCCAGAACTTGAACTTTTGTGCTATCTCAGCAGTGTATCCAGCAACAAAATCCGCAATGGACGGCTCCGATCGCACCCGAGGGTCATTCCTGAGGGCATTGATGGAGAAGGGCATGAAAAAGAGGTGGGCCTCATGTGGGTTGGATGTGAGGAGGGAGCTGTTAAGGAGGCTGATCTTAAACATGTGCTCGCTGAAATAGTTGCCGAGCTTGGCATCTAAAGGGTTGGGATGAGGGAGAAAGATGTTAGCAAAGGGAGCAGAGGGCAAGAAGGCATCAGGATACACAAATATCTTAAAGTTCTTCAACATTTGGTTGAAATCGTCTCTGAAAATCTCCCAGTTGTGGTAAGGAGGCTGCGCAAACAACCCTCTATTGTCCTTGGTGAGGGTTTGAAGAATTTGATTTTGGTGTTTGTGGATTTCAATGGGTTTTCTGGGGTAGGAGGAGGGGAGGAAGGTGAAGTGGGTTGTTGCAGATGGAGAGAGCAGTGATTCATGGTAATAATAATAATAATAGCAATAGAAAGAAATGGCAAGTGAGCAAAGCAAAAGCAGGAGGAGCAGATGGAGATGGGGGAGAAGTCTGGGCCGCCCCATGTCATGCGCTTCCAAGAACTTTTGTTTAGGAAATAACAAAGAGGCAGTACTACCTCACACGCACATAACCAGTAGAGTCATTGCCTGCCCTCTTGTTATTATCGAACAATAGGGACATAAATTACCCTGAAAAAATTGTTTCCAAGGCGGTTAATACTTATTTGTTTTAAGAAGCCACAAGGCCCACCATGAATCCCTTGTCTACAGGTGGTACTGTGCACCAGCATAATGCAAACCATGGTTGGTTGGTTGGTTGGTTGGTTGGTTGCATAACTTACAGACGTATGTATGGGGACCGGATTCTCTAGAAATTTAAGAAAATAATTGGCCTTTGAGTCTAATTCAATCTTCTCTACATGTATCTACTTCACAGAACCTTAGGCGCTCATCTGCTCAACGAGATGTCTTGGACAAGACATATGTTTGGCTGTTTCATGACGTCTTTCTCATGCAGCAGCAGTACCAAGAGCCCAATAATAGATCATGAACACACCCCAATCAAAAAATTCTTCGATCAAATGGAAGTGTTTGACGTTGTTAGATGTACGATGATGATCACCAGGTATTGTCGTAGCGGTAGGATTGATGATGCACGGCGAGTTTTTGATAGAATGCCTGTCCAGGACGTCGCCTCCTACAACGCCATGATTGCGGGCTACTTCAACAGCTGCCACTGCTGCTTGGAAGCAGCACAGACCTTGTTCAATGAAATGCCAGAGCGAAATGTGATAACGTGGACCACCATGATTGATGGGTTAGCAAACCGAGGGGAGATAGAGGCTGCACGCGAGCTCTTTGACGTGATGCCATGGAGAGATGCTGCAGCTTGGAATGCCATGATTGGCGGTTATTGCAGGAATGCAAGAATGGGGGAGGCTCATGCATTGTTTATCCAGATGCCGGACCCGGATGTGATTTCTTGGACCACGGTGATCTCTGGGTTCGAGCGGCATGGGTGCCACCATAAGGCTCTCTTTCTCTTTAGGGACATGCTACAGGCGGTTGTCAAACCAACCTCTGTCACATTTGCCTGTGTATTGAGCGCCTGTGCTGGCTCAGGTGCACTACAACAAGGTTGTCAAGTTCACTCCCATCTTGTGAAAGATGGAAGCCTCATATCCAATGTCTTCGTGTCTACTGCCCTTGTCACAATGTACGCTTGCTGCCAGCAGATGGAGTGCTCTGTCAAAGTATTTGAGGAGAGTCGCCATCCTCGCCAGAGAAGCAACGTGGCCCTCTGGACAGCTCTTTTGAGCGGATATGGCCAAAATGGTTGCCACCAAGAAGCCCTCCATGTGCTGTGTAGCATGATGAGGTCAGGGGTGCAGCCCAACCCATCGACGTTCACTAGTAGCTTGAATTCGAGCACAAGTTTGGAGGATCTCGAAAGAGGGAAGGTCATCCATGCAAAAGCCATTGTTTCTAGACTAGAGAAGGACATGTTTGTTAGCAATTCTCTCGTAGTTATGTATTCCAAGTGCGGCACTATAGATGATGCCCTTTCAGTATTTAGCAGGATGCATAAAATGAATATCGTCTCATGGAACTCCATCATTGTTGGGTGTGCTCAACATGGGCGTGCCAACAATGCATTGCAACTCTTCAATCAAATGGGAAACACCGGGGAGCTACGGGCAGACGCCATCACATATATTGGGGTCCTAACCGCGTGTAGCCATGCAGGGCTGCTCCACGAGGGGCGCTGCCATTTTGAACGGCTCAAGAGGGATCCCTTTGTAGAAATGCGGATTGAGCACTATGTATGCATGGTCGACATCCTAGGTAGGTGCGGGCAGCTGCAGGAGGCCGAGGAGTTCATCAATAGCATGCCACCATCCATGATGATGGTGAATCCAAATGCTACTTCAGTGTGGCTGGCACTGTTGAGTGCTTGTAGAATGCACTCTAATATTAAGGTGGGTGTGAGAGTGGCCACATCTATATTTGATGTAGACCCATGTAACACTGCAGCTCATGTTCTTCTTTCCAACATTTACGCCTCGGCCGGTGATTGGGATGGCGTCGCTCAAATCCGGTGGGCAATGAAAGAGAAAGGAGTTGAAAAACAGCCAGGACACAGTTGGATTACAGTTAGGAACACTAGTTGTAAGTTCCTTGTGGGGTACACATCTCACCCAATGGCAAGGGAAATTTATGGAATATTAGATTCATGGTCTGCTGCGTTGAAAGAGCTTGGCTATGTGTATGATAGGACTTCTGCCTTAGCATGATGTGCAGATACCTATAGAGGATGTGGAGATGATTCCTGGAGAACCTTTTGCTCTTGGTCCTTTTCCATGTGAACTAGCCTCCATTTGTTATTTTACAGGCTAGCTCTCTAACATAGTTTAAAACTTTTTTGAGAGGAGAAGAAGAGAAGACGGAGCCTGCGAGTCATGAACATATATCGTGAATAGAAAGCGTTTAACTTCGATGGAACACATGGGAGAGCACACAGAAGTTCCACCCAGAAATATTACCTGAAGTGGTTGGATTTGTCGGTGGAGGGTGAAACAGGGCAATGAAAATTCGATTTTGGTTTCAAATCACGCAAACACAAGAAGAGGGATCTTCCTGTTTTCAAGCACATTAAATGCACTGTCTCAAGCCCCTACTGATAATCAGTGTATATATGTATGTTATCTGGCCATATTTGTTTAAAAGATACTTAAAAACAGGACACCAAATATTTAACCAGAAAAAAACAGGACATCAAACACTACACTTGTTCATATGCACAAGAACAAGAAGTTCATAGAGCATCAGAGTTGCATTTCTTGAAAGACGCCCAACGTGGTGCACTGGCTCACTCACCTTGGCTGACAAGCTAAGTATGGTGGGCCTCAAGCGCCAAGCCTTGTCTCCCCTTGGTTATATGAAAACAAAAGGAAAAAAATTGTCTCTGTATAAACTTCACTCCCTCTTTCTAATTTTTCATGGTGGGACTAAAACCCATTACTTCTCTCTTTTTAAATCAAATTGCTTTTCCAAAATCCAGTTTGAAAGATATTAATTTTAAAAATACCACATAGTATTTTTCCAAAATACATGCACCAACAATAGTCAAATGCACAGCGCTTGAAGCTTTTTCTTTTAGTATGAGGTTTTTTTAAGGCTTAGTCACCTCAAATCCTTATCCAAAAACCACTTTCGGCTATGGAAACCTCCATAATGGCTCCAAAATCAATTTTCAATACCGACAATAAAATTGATAACTCAAAAAATATTATAAATCTTGTACGTCTATAGACACTTATTTTTAAGATGAAATTGACGGTCTAGAAAATTTTGTTACAATAACTATATTTTTAAAGCTTTAAATCCTACTTTTTTTTCACAACCATAATGTTTCAAGATGACGAATGTAAAGGTTTTCTAATGCTTGAATTTCAATTTTCGATGAGTAATAAAGTGAGGCTTTACTTATTTTGATAGGCTACAGCTCAAACTATTTTCCTTTCATGAAAAGAGGTTGTGTACTATGAGACTATTTATCTTTGATACAAGCACGTCGCAATTATTAATAATCATTAGACATCAAATTGGATAGCTTGGGGTACGACACAAAGTTTAAAAACAAAAAAATTGAGGTTTGATTGTGACATCCTTGCATTAAAAATTAAAGGTCTCCTTGTATACTTCTACTCATGAAAAATAGTTAATAGGTTTGGGTTTGACTCACAATATAGTTTTTTTTTTTTGTATAATTCAAGTAAATGGTCTCTGTGTATACTTCTCTTCATGAAAAAGAGTTAAGAGGTTTGGGTTTGACCAACAAGATAGTTTTTTTTTTTATTATTTAGGTATAATTCCACATGAAAGTTAAAACAAGGATATGGGGGAATGATTGCATGGCACCCCCTCATTATAATATAATGAAATCACACTTCTAGAAAACCATGTTTGTAGCATTTGTATGACTCTAAAAATTATACACAGCCTCTCTTCACCCCAATAGTCAATTATCAAAAAACAAAGTTCAACTTACACCCTAGATATGTCAAAATGAGTCCCCCTCTGACAATGAATCTAGATCATTCATTTGGTGAATTTCAAGATCTAATCCTTCATGAACTGAAAATAAATTTTTTGTTTTTCAACATTGTTTATCTAATAATAAAAGAATCATAAAAAAAATTAAAAATGAAAAAATCATTTTAAGGCCTAGATCTAAGCACATGACCAAAATGGACGGCTTATATTCATCATCATTATCGCCTTTTCCCAATTAATTGGAGTCGGCTATGGACGGCCTATATTGATTAAGCTAATTTTTTTTCTAAAGTGTGTTTTCAATTTTTTATTTTTTGTAATTATTTATAAGAATGAAAAGAGTATACATGTAAAAATTGAATTAAAACAAATGGCCCTAACATAATTTTTTAATATATATGTGTATTTCCATGATGTATACGTCAACACTAATAATACTGACCTCCAAGAACGCACAGAAATTTAATTAAACAATTAATGAATGAATACAAATATCCTGTATCGCAATTAGCCATGATTAACTCGACAACAAAGAAGCAGCAGAATGTAGTTCTCAAAAAGCTGAATATTGCTGGGCCTTACAAAAGAGTAGTTTCTAAAAGTGCTTCTGAATCTCCATTTTTTATAAAATAGTTATTTAAAATTTTTGGGAAAAATCACGCCTTTGAGTATTTTGTAGGAAAAATGCTTACTTTGATAATATGTGTTGGCCGAGCTGGTTAGTAGGTTAATCCAAGAAAGAAAGGGGATACGGAAATAGTTTCTTCCCCGAATTATGCTTCGAGTGCGAGAGAGGGAGTCGAGCTGGTTAGTAGGTTAATCCAAGAAAGAAAGAAAGGGGATACGGAACGAGTTTCTTCCCCGAATTTTGCATCGAGTGCAAGAGAGGGAG